TACATAATTAATACATAATCAGTGTTATTAATTAAGTTGAATTTAATTTCATTCACCATGAGTGAAAATAAGGAAATTAATGTAGAAGACAAACACATTTGCTAAAATGTTGCATAAATACATATCAAGTAGAAGAATCAGAAATAATGATTCTCCGCAAGGTAAAGGGAAGATAAGTACCCTCCTAAGAGTGGCCCAGTTAAAAAGAAAACAGGTCAAAGAAAAGAGAGATTGTCATTTCTGCAAGGGTACTCAATTTTCTAAGAATTGCAATGCATACAAATTCATGGAATGAAAAAGCTGAAAGATTGAAAAGGGAACTTGACAGATGTATCAGATGTCTAGGTAATCAAAATGTAAAGGATTGTCATGCTAAATTTAAAACAACTGTTATCAATGTCAAAAAGGAAAGGGACACCATATAGTCATGTGTAAGGGTCTATATGATAATGTTGACAATAATGATAATGTTGACAATCCAGACACAACAGTAGCTAATGTAAGGATTGCTGCTAATGTTAATAATGATGGTTTTGCTGAAGTAGCTTTTCCTGTGTAAGAGGTAAAAATTGAGATAAAAGGCATAAATCAAAAAAAATGTAACTGCATTATTAGACCGGGATCCCAGCGTACTTTCTTTAAACGTAAATGCCCTCTCAGGCCGAGAGAATTACTGCGCAGACGCTCCTCAGTTGTCTGTCAGTGGTGGTGTGAGGGGGTTTGGGTGTTTGCGCCTCTGTTGACACCTCAGGAAAATTATGCTGTCAACATGGCTGTATGTCTAGACGCCGGATTAATACTGTTGGTATTTTAGCTTCTCTGGGAGACGATTTCGCCTAGTTCAGCGCAGGTTCTCTTACCTAAGATCATCAGAGAGACGTATGAAATTCAAGATGAAGAATTATATGGAGTGGGGTTTAAATGGAGCGCATAGAATCTTCATGAAACTGCTCACTGCAACGGTATGTGAATCGTTGGTTAATTGTTGTTTCCAGACGTGAGTCTTGATGTTATTCCTGTTGTACATGTTAGAATGACTGATGTTTTTCCAGGCATTATACCGAGTTAAGTTTACGTAACATTCCCCTTTGAAGTGGATGAAGATGATATCAGAAAAATTTCGAGAAATATGGGACAGTTCATTTTGCCCAGCCTGGTATGTGGGTAGCAGGTTTTTCCAGAAGGTATTTTAACCTTAAATGACATTGAGACATCCCATACCATCTTACGTTTTATCTTTAGGAATTCAGGACACAGGTCATGGTTTTGTATCTTAGACAAAGGGTATGTGTCGCCTATGTGGTGAGTATGACCACATAGCTGCAGGATGTGAGAAGAAATGATGCGTCCTGAGCCTGTGGTAGAAGACGCAGCCCCTGTTCTTACAGGTGGCAGGTGAGGATCAATCACCTGAGGGATGGCGTGGTCGTTTGTGGAGTGAGATGGTGGAGCAAGCTTTTAGGATTGGGGGTGAGTCCCCCCCCTCAGTTCCCTGCCCCAGAATCTCATTCGTGACTTCTGCAGGGATGGTAGCACGGGAGAAAGTGTTGGAAATAGAGGAAGAATTTGGAGGAAGTTTTTAAGACCTTGTATCTGCCTGAGGAGGACGTTACATCTGAGCAAGAAGTAGCTGGAGAGTTATCGCTTCCATTTTGTCAACGATTAGAGAATTTGGGGATTAATGATGTGACTTAGAAGTCAGTGGAATTAATAAATCATTGTAAGGTGGATTTGAGGTTCACCCTGAGGCTTCCCTACCATGTTATGGGGGACATGAAGCGGGCAGCTACGTCATACTCGGATGATGTCCTGACGCTAGCACAGAGGCCTGGGAAGCAGACTGGGATCGTAGGATAGGGAAAGAGGTGGCGATGGGGGAGGTCATGATAGGAGACATCGGAGGAAGGGAGGGGGGGAAAGAAGGTTTTTTTGAAGATAACATACAGAAATACTAATTCTAGTGGTGAAAAGAGTGAGGAGAAGAGGCAGGGGTGGAAATTTAAAAGACCTTTGGTGTATGACTGTCAAAGTTAATGGCTTATGTTAGCAGAATAAAGAGAGAATGGTTGAGTATGTTTCTTAATAAATATAGAGTAGATGTTGTGTTCCTCCAGGATCATAATTTCAAGGAGGGTAAGGTGTTAGAGGTAGCAGGTTATCAAGTTTAAAGACCCCGCCAACTACCCCTTTAAAATGTTGTGTGGGTATTTTTAATAAAGGAGACGAGCCGTTTGTTTTGCAGAGAAGGAGGGGGGAGGGGGAGGGGGAGGGTGGGTTTCATGTGGATGGGTCATGGATGGTAAGCGTGTATCTTTTGTGAGTGGGGTTTTGTGCCTGTGGAGAATAGCATGCAGGTAAGGAAGGATTTTGTGGCAAGGATCTTGTCAATTTTTTTGCGTGCACTTCGGGAAGTAGCAATAGTGGGGAGTGACTGGAACTGCGTTATTAGGTTGGCTGACGTAGAACCACAAGGGGCAGGGAAAATTTTCGTAACTCTCAGGGATTTTTATGATGTGTTGGTTACGTGATGCATTTGGGGGGGGGTTTTGGGGAAAAAGAACATACTTTTTTAGGAGGGGATATGCAGCAAGGTTAGATAGAGGGGATCTTTCTCAAGGGGGTTTTTGTGAAATCTTTTTTAAAACCATTTAGGCAGCTATGTCAGATCTTTCGGG